TGTATCTTCCAGCATGTGGGACCCCAGATTCTGTGTAATTTGACAGCTTGGCACCATCAGCTTTCTTCACCGCATTTGCTTATGTACCCGCTTTGTCTTCAGCATTCGTACTGGGGTATTTTCTATACAACTAAGTTTTTAACGCTTGTTTCCACAAAATATCACAAAGATAAATTAACTTTGCTACTGGCCAACTATGCTCAGAGAAAAATCAATGTCAATGAATGCATGATTGATGAATAAAGCACTCCAACAATCCCATACAATTTGCATAATGGCATCCATAGCCCCCCGTATTTTATTTTTTCATTTATCATGGGTTATCATTTCTCAAGTCTACTTAGCTTAAACAATGAACACAATTTGCGCCTTCCAGTCATGGGCAGTTTAGAGTGCGGTACGTTCTCTAGGAGTTAATCATTCCTAGAAAAGGGAGGTGGGAGAAATCACAAAATGTCAACACAACAACAACAATAAATTATGTCAACTCAACCACTGAAGTAAGTTTGAATAACTTGCAGCATTGAAAGCCTCATTTAATCACAGCAGAAAACTGAATTCTCATACTTTCATTTTCAGACATATCCCTTTACCATGTGAAGGGGAAAAAAAGTGGACACACTTGTCTTTCACAAATAAAATGTGTCCTTTCATTTATGACATATTGCTTCCTGAATGGTAAAGTACTATTGGGTCTGGAATGTAAAATATGTGATGCAAACAATGAATATTCCAAAGGTAAATTTGTAAACTGTTCTCCTAGAAAAACTTTACAGTAAGAGTGGTTCATTTTTGTTTTGAGCTAAGAGGATTTGTTAAAAATATTTCATTGACATAGAAACTATATGGTCCATTTAAGAATGATAGAGAAGAAGTAAGTACAACGTGGCCATGGAATAGAGGTTCTAGAAGTGTCCTTTGTCTCAGAATGCAGACTCCTCGGTAACTCTGTCTGAGGCTCCAGAGAATGGTTGGATCAGGCATGCCACGGGTGGTTTAAACATGCCCATCTTATCCCAGACCAGTGGTTGTGGTTGTGGTTGTTGAGTGCCATTGAATGAGTTCCAACTCACAGCTGCCTGATGTACATCAGAGTCAAACCCCCTCCATCCTGGCGTGAGACCGTCGTTTTGGCCACGGTGTCAAGTCATCTTGTCGAGGGTCTTCCTCCATTCCCTGCCCTTCTACTCTGATGTCCTGGCACCCGTGAGCTGAAATGGACTTGCTTTGGCAATTTGGAATCAGACAGTCACATGATGCACTATGCCAAGAATGACAAATTCAAGAGGAAGGTTTCCACATTCATCATCAAACAGAATATTGCAAGATCCATCTTGAAGTACAGTGGGGTAGGTGAAAGGATCGTGCCGATACATCTACCAGGACACCCAATTGATACACCTATTATGCAAATGTAGGCACCACCTACTAAACCTAGTGATGAGGAAACAGAATCAAATTCTTCAGTATGAAATTGATCAAACATCCACCTAAGATGCAAGGATGATGAGTCGATCGCATAGTAGAATTTTGCAAAAGGCATGACTTCGTGGCCAATACCTTTATTCAACAACATGAACCAGGGCTGTGCGTGTGGAAGTCGCCAGAGGGAATACACCTGAATCAAACTGACTGCATCTGTGGGAAGAGACGATGGCGAAGACAATGGAGTTCAATATCAGCCAAAATGAGACCAGGGGCTGGCTTTAGAACAGACCATTAATTACACATATGAAAATTCAGATCAAAGCTAAAGAAAATTAAAAGGTGACCTTTTTATTTTCACCCCACCTGAACTTACAGACCAGCTCAAGAAGAGATTTGATACACTGAATGCTAATGACTGAAGACAAGGTATGTTGTGGGATGGTATCAAGAACATCACTCATGAACAAACAAGTGGTCATTGTACAAAGAAAGAAAAGAGGAAAGTAGATGTCAGAAGACACTCTCCACTTGCTCTGGAGCACAGAGCAGTGAAAGCAAATGGAGGATATGATGAAGTAAAGCACTGAACAGAAAATTTCAAAAGGCAGCTAGAGAACACAAAATACAGCATTCTGATGAAATGTGCAAAGAAAATCAAAAGGGAAGAATATATTTTGCATATCTCAACCTGAAAGAACCGAAGAACAAATCCAAGCCTTAAATTGCCAAATTGAAGGATTCTATGGGCAAAATATTGAATGACGCAGGAAGCATCAAAAGAAGATAGAAGGAATACACAATCACTGTTCCAAAAAATATTAGTCAACATTCAGCCATTTCAAGAGATGGTATATGGTCTAGAACCTATGGCATTGAAAGCAGTCCAAGCTTCTCTGAAGGCATTAGTGAAAAACAAGGCTCCGGGCATTGACAGAACACCAATCAGATCATTCCAACAAGTTGACGCAGTGCTGATGGAAGCACTCATCCATTAAGCAACCTATGCCAAGAAATTTGTAAGACTGCGTCTTGGCCAACTAACCAGAAGAGATTTATTTTGTGCCCATTCTGAAGAATGTTGACCCACAGAACGTGGAAATTATCAGACATTATCATTAGAATTAAAAATTTGCTGAAGATCATTCAAAAACATCTGCAGCGCTACACCAACACAAGCTGCCAGAAAGTCAAGCAAGATCCAGAAGAGGAAGATCAATGAGGAATATAAATGTTGACTAAAAGCAGAAAGATATTCGTTTGTGTTTTATTGACTATGCAAAGGCGTTCGGCTGTGTGAACCCTAACACTCTAGGAACAGCATTGTGAAGAACAGGAATTCCAGAACAGCGCATTGTAAGTGACAGTTTCATGGGCTCTGTTTGATGGGAAATTTATTCTTTCAATGCGCAGTATTTCAGGATTTAGCAGTAACTAATGCTATAAGGAGCCCTGATAGCCCGGTGGTAAAGGGTGGAGGGCTAACTTGAAGTTCGAGGGTTTGATTCTGCCATCCACTCCATGGGAGAAAACTGAGGCTTCTCTAGAGATTTACAGAAACTCTTGGGAGTTCGGCTCTATTCCATAGGGGGCTATGCATAGAGATCAATTTGACAGCAGTGGGTTTAATGCACGGTGCATTCGCCTTCAGGAATGGTGGGGAGCTTCTGTACACCTCATTGTTAGGCTTTCTATGCTCAGCCGTTTCTCTTTGTTTCTTTTCCCTCTTCACAGGTTAGAATCCCCTACCAGGAGTCTAAGCATGAATGCCCCCAGAGGGGTTCATATTAAAGCACGTGCTGGGAACATCGAAGCCCTTTCACAAATGGATATCAGACTTGGTAGCAGCGATGGAATGGTAAGCTCACCGCACGATGCTCCTAGTCTTTGTCCTGATGATGCTTATGAGTGTCAAGTCCATTAAACCAACCGTCGTCTGTAAAGAACAGTCAGATAGGTGTAAAGTAGAACGTGTCAAAAAAACGCAAAAGACCATTTGACATTGAAAGAGAGGTCTAGGAGAGTTAAAATTGAGTCTGTCCGGAATTTGCCTGCTTTATTTGATTAGTATTTTTGCTTTCAAGCCATTTGTTAATTTCAACTTAGAGAGGACGTGAAACATTGAGAGCCTACAGAGAATGTCAATCTTGCTATTGTTCCCTAGCGATTCGACTTGTTCAGTATGGCCGTCACCATATGGAACCTTCTTTATTAGAAAATGCTCCGTGTCAGTCAGCCAGAAAATTGTGCCTGATAGGAATGTTCGTGAAAGCACTAGAAGAAAACCAAGGGTTTGCTTGATAAGCTGGACTCCAAACCCAGGATCCCCTATTGTGGATGTGTACAAACAACCGGCTGCACCTTTGCTCAGACCCCCTTAGTTATTGTGTGTGTGTGTGTGTGTGTGTGTGTGTGTGTGTGTGTGTGTGTCAGGGTGCTCAAAAGAAGACGTTAGCCCATGGATGTCCTTTGAAATGCCTCCATCCGGAAAGCAATGTCCCAGGAGTCACATGGGTTAGATTGTTTACACGGCTGATGCCTGATGAAATATGTTGGGGGAATGTGTGTGGAAGCCCCACAGCTCCTTCCCCAACACCTCACACCTGTGGGAATGCACAGACCTACACAAAATGCCGCGGTGGCAGGTCTCCCAACAGATTGTCCCTCCCAAGGGAGAAGAAACGGAGGAAGGAAGCAGTGTGTGGATTACCAGTTGACCGTTTGCTGGAAGAGGAGAAAAATAGAGGAAACTGACCTATTAACCACCAGAAATAGAAGGAAGCAAACAAATTCAAGGCAAAATGGAGAGAAAGCAAGAACTCGAAGGACCAAAATCACTGACTAGCCACTTATTCAAAAAGGAAAAATACGATTTGATTTATTTTACTCTCAGCCTGGTGCCAGACCACATGCCATAAACCTCTGTGTGTAATGCTGACACTGTCCCACGCATGGCTCCCCAATTCCCCAGAGAAAATACAGACTGCAGATGTCAGCTTAATAGAAGATTGGCATTGGGGGTGGGGGGGATGTAAAATAGACGGTCTGCACTTGTTGGCGGGGGAGAGGGGATGTAAAACAGACGGTCTGCGCTTGTTGGCGGGGAACATACCAACCACGACATTCTGAATCCCTTCCAGCAAGTCCGCACTCTCGGGTGGATGGGGCTGGCTGTAGGGCTGATGGTTCTCCTTTCATTCAGTTATCAGTGAGATTTCCCAGGTTTCACTGTAGCCAGGTGCTCGCGTTTTGGTTTAACTGAATTTTAATATGCCCCTCAGAAATCCAACCGCTCTCATCCCAATAGGACTTGAGCTACATGTCTAGTGCTTTCCAGCATATAAGAGAAGGTGGTGAAGTTTCAAATAATCTTTAAAATATTAAATTACGTGAATAATGTTTAAGAGTGCAGGGAAATGGTCAGCCGCTCCTGGAATGACCCCAATGGCCTGTGTAGGGAAATGAAATCACAGCCAAAATCAGGATAAATTCCAACACTCACAGCAAAAAATTAGTAAAATGAATATATTCTGAGCCTGTATGTTAACTTAATTTGGAGGGGTAGGAGACAATTTGTGTAAAGTCAAAGTAGGTCATGAGATGGATGGGAAACTAATTCTTTACTTTTGGCAGGGGGGCGGGGTCAGATAAATCTGAAAGGCATTTTTAGGAGGGTAGCATGCTAGATCAGCCTGGTTTCCTGGTACACGGACGTAAAGGGCAGCACGTGCTGTCCCATGAGTCAGTGGTCCTTGCAGGACGAACAGAGTGGGCCAAAGGGAAAGCTGGCTTACCTCCGACTTATTACAGCACCTGCCTGAATGTGAAATTGGGCTATGAAATAAGCAGATCATTGTAACATGGTGTAAACAAAGTCTCGCACCCATTGGGTTTCCTGTGAAGAAAAAAAAAACCAAGCTCTCTGTGTGGCCCCAGTGGCTGTGACTTTGCCCTTGGCTGTGCCCCCTCCTTTCTCAAGGTGCTCTCTTCCCTTTCTCCCATTCAGCTTGTCCTGGACACCGAAACAGTACGCCTGCCCAAGTTGACTCAGGGCACCGGGGACCCCGCTGGCATCTCACAAGGGCTCTATGAAATCTGCGCTTGTCCAGATGGGAAGCTTTACCTGTCGGTGGCCGCCGTGGGCACCACGTGCCAGGAGAACAGCCATGTCTGCCTCTAAACCACGTGCGTCTTCCACGAGGCGCGTGGCCCACCTTCAGAGAGCTTGGGCATTCTTGGCTCTGGAGACCTCGCACTCAGAAAGCAACCTTACATCCTTTAGCCTGAGGCTGTGGACGGAAAGTGGAAGGACCGCTTTCTCAAGAACTCGGGAGGAAACACACGCCGACGGAAGTGTTTGGCCTGCGCTACGGGGTTTCAAAATGACTCCTGGGTGTTAGGCCAGTGGGTTAGCCAAGAATGTTCCACTGGGCTGATCTAGTCTCGGCAGAGCAATTAATAAATTGTACACGTCAGTGTATCGTGAGATGCTGCCTTGCTGTGTGAAATCAATTTATGATGGTCCGCCAAGCCTACTGTCTCACTGCCCAACAGAGTGACGTTGGTAAATACGCAAGGGCCTACGCAGTGTTTGCTGCAAATTGCTCAGACCTGTGCGTGCCTTCATACTCAAGTGTAGCCAAAGGGTCTCCGATTTCATGAGAAAGGCTTCAGGTCTTGAACGTACACTGAGGTCGACATGATTTTCAACATGTAATCAAAGGGCTCGATTACATAAAACCAGTCAATCAACCTACATGGGTCACAGACTTCTTGGTACCAGCGAACATCTTGCTCTCTTTAACCCTCATGAGGACTTTTTGAGGTAGATATTGCTTTTCCCCTGACGTATTGGTTCAAAGACAGAGGCTTGTATGGGACATGCAATTTATAGGTCACGAAATAGCTACTGAAACTAAATCAAATTACTCCTAGTAAAGAGTTACATCTCAGGAAGTTCAAGGACAGTTCTCTCCTGTCCTCTAGGGTCGCTGAGTCAGAATGGACTTAGCAGTGAGAAACTTGCATGGGGTTAGATGCTTTTAGAAAACGTGGCATCCTCCTTTGCCATGTAGTTCACGGGTGGTATTTAAAATGAATGACTGCTTTCTTACTATGGCATCCAATTAGAGAAGACCAGATCACTCTAACGAGGAGTTTGGATACTCTCTTGTTCCATGATTTGAGCTGTGCAGCACGTTGTCTTCAATCACGTTAATCTAACGTAGAATCGCCATAGACCATTCACAACTTAACTTGTTCTCAAAGAGCATGTCAGACGAAGGGGGAAGAAATGTTCTCAGACTTTTAATTAAAGTCAAGAAAAAATAACCAAGGGCAAAATATGGAGACTAGACCTAATTTAGATCGGCCCTAAACTTACAAAGTGCTCCTCACTTTGTGGGATCTGGCAGAGCGTCTAGTTCCAGGTACAGCATCTTAGTCTGGGATGACTGTGGGTCTGATAAGCCCGTTGACAAATGAAGAAACTAGTGCGCAAATGGGGTTTTGACAACTACCAAGGTCTGGCGTCGATAAACTGGTGGGACCACCTAACTTCTCAGCCCCCATTCCTACCTCTGCCAACAGCCATCAAGATTTCCATTTAACTTCCCAGAATCAGACTCTTGCGGATTTCCAACGTCATAGTTAGCATCATTTGGCTGTATAGGTTGCTCTACACATCAAACAGGACATGCAGCACCTGTGGGAACGGATTCGTTTCTGTGTAAGCCACTCACTTTGTAAGCTGCCCTTTGTCAAAAAAGTGGTAGATTCTATTTGGCTTTTCACTTTCAAACCAGTTATTATCCTTCAGAATCCCCAAAGCAGCTCAAGATGCAGTTGTACTAACAGCATTAGGACTTTCAAATGACAGGACTGAGAACTAAACACAAGTTCAAGCCCCATTCTCCAATGGCAGAACAAGAGAAGTCATAGCATTGGTAAAGCTGTCTTACACACTTAGCAGCACAGTCCCATTGTAACAACTCCCAGGTGTTCGAACGCGAGTATGTGCGAACACATCTCTCCTGGAGGCAGAATAGCCAGAAGGCTCTTTAGACTAGAAGATGGTGAGAATTTGTCTCATGTACTTTGGACATGTTCTCAGGAGGGACCAGTCTCTAGAAAAGGACATGATTCTTGGGAAAGTAGAAAGTCCATGAAAAAAGGAAAGACCGTTGATTGACAAGATGGATTGAACAATGACTGCAGCAATGGGCTCAAACATAGAAAAAAATTGCAAGGAAGGATGGTGCCAGACGGGGCCATGTTATTTCTGTTGTACATAATAGCATCACTATCAGTTGGCGCTCACTCCACCTAACAACAACATAAACACTTGAATAAGGAGTCTGGTGATGCTTCGGGTTAGGCCTTAGGCTGTTACCTGCAGGGTCAGAGTTTCAAACCCACCAGCTGCTCCACTGGGAAAAGACGCGGCTCTCTGCTCCCACAAAGACTTGCTGCTGCCTTACTCCTTGGCAGTGGCTTTAATTTTTGTTGCATGCAAACATTTGACATTGCAAAATAAAAAGTGCCTCCTTAGCAGCTAAGGGAGAGCTTAGCTCTCCATTACATATTCCTAAACCCTCACTGTCCTGGTGGCACAGTGGTTACACATTGGGCTGCAAACTGCCAAGGTCGGCAGTTTGAAATCACTAGCCCCTCCGAGGGAGAAAGACAGGACTTTCTATTCCCGCACGGAGTTAGTCTCAGAAACCCACTGGGACAGTTCTGCCCTTTCCTGTAGGGTCTCTCTGAGTCAGAACCATCTCGAAGGAAGTGGGTTTAGATTCTGACTTAGAGTAAACCTATAGGATACAGTAGAACCTGCCCTGTGGGTTTCTGAGGAGCAAGCACCCTCGACTTTCTCCCGCAGAGCAACCTGTGGGTTTGAACTGTTGACCTCGTGATTGGCAGCCCAACTTGTAACCAACCTACTACACTGCCAGGGAATAAAAGGATTATGTGGTTTGGGTTTGTTTTGAAGGTAGCAGGGGTGGGGGTGGAGGTGCTAATTAGTACATGGAATTAATTTGAAAAAGCTGTTCTGGAAAGCTCTCTGCCTTCTCTCCAGTCCCACCAAGCCAAACCCACTGCCATCAAGTCGGTCCTAAAGAAAGTTTCTGAGACTGTAAATCTTTATGTGACTCAATAACCTCCTTTTCCTCCCGTGAAGCAGCTGGTGGATTTGAATCACGGACCTTACACCTTGCAGTTAGCAGCGACAGTGGGGAGAAAAGCCTAGCAATTTGGCCCTGTAAAGAGTACAACCCAGCCCCCTCGCCTGGATTGTGATAACTCACACAGGGGTTATCACCTACAGTGTTCCACTAGGTGCAACCAGCTACAAACCCCACTGAAGAACTATGCGTGTGTTTGGATAGCTTTTCAGAGGCTACTTTTTCCAAAAGACTCCTGGTAGCCTAGTGGTTACATATTGGGCTGCTAACCACCCAAGGTCCAAAGTTCAAAACCACCAGGCCTTGTGAGGGAGAAAGACAGGGCTTCCCACCCCCGTGATGAGTAACAGCCTCAGAAACCGTCAGGGGCGGTTCAACCATCACTGTGAGTCACCGTCGACCTGACAGCGGCCAGTCTGGTTTACTGCCTCCAAAGTGGGCCACCGAGTGCTTCTTCATTGTCTGGTCTTGGTCTGGAAGCTCCTCTGACTTCTGTCCACCTTGGGTGACCCTGCTGCCGGCATTCGCAATACCAGTGGCTTAGCTTCCAGCAATGTAGCAGCACATAAAGCCACCCCAGGACAGCACCCTAAGAGACAGTGACATAGCAAGGGCTACATAACCCAAAAACAAAGAATGAGAAAGAAAAACAGTCGAAATCACTGCCATCAAGTGGATACTGACTCATAGCGACCCTGTAGGACAGGGTAGAAATGGCCCCTGTGAGTTTCCGAGGCTGTAACTCTTCACAGGAGTCGGAAGCCCCGACACTTTTTCCCCACAGAGCAGTGGGTGCTTTTAAAAACTGCCAACCTTATGGATGGACTGGAGCTTCAAAATAACGCGGGTGGGGGGCCAGGGGGGAAGGGGGGGGCGCGGAACCCATTATCTTTTTTTAATTCAATTCATATTTCGTTCCCCTGGTGGTAAAGTTAGAAATATCTGTATTAACTTTCTAAAAAATCCAAGTTCTGAAACACTTCTGGGTCCGAGGGATATAGGTACAGGGCTGTTGTCTCTGTATTTAAGAAGAAAGAAAGGCTAGGAGACCATGAAGCTCAGATTCATCTGGCCGACTATCATGAAGGCCAGGCTAGGCTTTCTGTGTCGATTTTAACATCCAAACACGAGTGCTAAATCTTAGCTCCAAAGCTAAAAGTCTCCGAGGGCTGAAGGCCCAGGGTGTAGGTGGTCACAGAGGCCTCGGGTCACAGAGAACTCTTAGTCCTTGTCCATTTAACTCTAAAGACCTGAGTCTCGGGTATAATAAAAACCGAACCGAACCCACTGCCCGGGCTTCAGGTCACAGTGACCCTACTACATAGGGCTTCTCTGTCTGTTCATCTTTTTCGTTTTTTCTAATTAGCGTTCTGTTGTGAACTCAATGGGGGTTTACATATTAGATCGTTTTTTTGCATTCGACGGCGTCAAACAACTAATTTATCAATCCTTATTGTGGCTTACCCTATCCCCATCCCCCACCCCCCCTCATCCCCCTCTCTCTTTCAGGATATTGTCTCCCCCCTCACTCAAGTTGACTCCCATCCACCCTCTGGAGGCTGTAAATCTTTACGGGAACAGTCAACCTCATCTTTCTCCCTTAGGGAGGCCGGTGGTCTCAAACTACCGACCTTTCAGTTAGCAGCTCAACGAGTAACCCGCAGCGCCACCAGAGCACCCTCCCACTGGGGCTTCCAGTGTGGAGTTAGACTCGGATGAGCAACTTGGCTCTCCACCCACGGGAGAGCCTTGAAAGTGTGACAGAAACACTTCACCCAGTCAAGGGGCAACTAAGAAACCTGGTGCAGACCAAGCACTCCACAGCCAACCAATCGCGAGAAGCAGGCCGACTTGCACGTCAGGAAGAGGACCCCTGAGAAAGTCACGTTCCGGTACGCATCCACACACAGACACCCGCCAGGTCTTATTCATGCGGGGGGCAAACAGGTGGAAGCTAACCCGGGCTCTCTCGCGGGAAACACCAGTTACAAGGGCTCCGTTTGTACATTTTTAGTTTATTAAAATTATGGCACTTAATAGAACAGCAGAAATAATTACTTAGCTTCACAACCAGAAGCAATACAATTTTTGAGGCGCAAGCATTCCTTTTTTACCAACAACAGTAAAAAAAAAAGTCTTAACATATTCCCTAAGGCCTTCATTGCATATAATTAACACTTTTAGCATCATTTACAGTTGGTACGCTTCCATGAGCTCATGATCGGGATCTGTCTTTCTTGTGCTTTCTGCAAAAGGAAACGTGTTCGTGAGTGTGCACAGTGCTTGAGCTTGCTGAAGAGTAGATGCCGTTCTGAATCATTCGTTCGTGGGCCAGCGGATGAGACAGCTCAGAGACCATTCATTTTTTAAATAAAGCAACTGGACATTTGTCATAAGTTTTCTACAACTCTTTGTTTTGTTTTAAAGTTAGAGAGGGGAAAGAAAAACAAACCACCAAGTGCCATACTGAAAGACTTTTTTTTTTTAATCTGCAGCACCGTGAAGACCTCACAGGAGAGTCTTCGGGATCCCCTTCAACCTGCAGCACACACACAGTGACACGTGGGGGGGCTCTGGGCACGGACGGACAGACGGACAGCGGGTGCTTCTGACCACGGGTGCTTCTGACCATGGATTGGTGAGCCGTTTTCCGAGACGGTGATGACATCTGATTGGGAGAGCGGCCACCACATTGAGTTTCCCTCTATGTAATCCCCATCAACTGGGAGGCCTGTAAACGCAGCAGGCGGAGAAGACGCTGGGAAAATAAAAGACGCCAAGTGCACTGGGAGCACTCCGGAAAGTTCTATCTGCCTACTCTCCATCAAGTCATATTCAGGATTAGAATGCTGTACCTTGGTTGGTTGGTTTTAAATAACCGAAGATGTAAAGTTGCAACACAATCATAATCAGATCCAGCTGATAAGAAAACAATGCACCCAAAAGAGGATCCATTTTAATTAATAAAAAAAAAGCAGCAGCAGCTAAACTCCAAGGACGGAATCTCCTTCACTTGTTTAAACCTCACGATCCGTCGGCGTGTCTTGTTAGCGCCTCCAACAACAGCACGTTACAGACATGACAACAACCTCATCCCAACCCGAGACATCACAGAGACAGACCTGTATGGAAGAGACCGCTGAAGCTTTGGTTATGTAAAGTGCACGGCAAAAACACACTGTCCTTAGCCCTTCTGGGGTCCAGCCAGCGTCCTCCCCGTCCGCACCACCTTCTCCACAAACAACGTCCCTTCGTGTCCAGCTGAGGTCTTCCTGATGTGTCAAGCGCCCCGCGCAGAGCCATCTGCCATGTGCGTCACGGTTTCTGATGGGGAGAGGTGGCTAGCTGTGGGTGAAGCTTAAGGAGATGCAACGTGGCCCACCTGTGCGCCACTCCTTTGCAGAGAGCTCTCTGCCCGCTGGCTCCTTCCCTTCCCGGAAGCGCCTCACACCTTCTGCTGTATGAAATTCTCCAGTTTGATGATGATGCAGGCAGTGCACTCCATCACCCTCATCGCCACCTCGGAGGTGAACCTGTCGTTGGGGATCTGTGGGAAAGGCAGCAAGTCCGGGTACCGCGTCTTCAGGCTGTCGACGCCGTAGGCCTCCAGGGTGTGGACGTCGCTGGTCAGCCCCTCCAGCTGCTGGCTGTACTCCTCGATCTTCTGCGCCAGGGCGGTGGGCTTCACGTCCTTGTCAGACTTGCCCCGCACGGCGTAGTCGGCCGCGATAAGGGCCAGCTTGGTGGAAAGGTAGCACTTGAAGCAGACCCACTCGTTGGCGTTTTTGTGGAGGTCGTTTCTCGCGGCCGAAAAGTTGGCCCTGGCTTGCCTCAGCCACCTGCGGGCTTCCACGGGGTTGCCGACCGACTTGAAGGTGGGGGGCACGAAGAACCTCTGGGAGTAGGTCTGCCCGGCGGTCGTCGGCGGGCACCTGTCCCCTCTCTGCTGCTGCCTCTCAGACTTATGGCTCGTGGCCTCCTGGTTCCAGGAGGTGTAGAATCTTTGGAAGGAGTACTTGTCCGACTGGAAGCGGGAGGCCGACGTGGAGAAGGTCCGCCGGGAGGCTCGGTCTGCGTTCTGCTCGTGAAAGGCCTGCTTCTCCAGCCTGTTGATCTCGTTCTGCAGATGCTTGAAGACCTCGTTGGCCATGTCGTGGTTCTCGGGGTTCTTGTCCGGGTGCCATTTCAGATAGAGCCGCCGGATGATCTTCTTTCTCTCGGGCTCCGGCAGCTTCCAGGCCTGCTCCACCACGGCCGTCACCTCCTTGAGGATCTCCGGCAGGGAGGGAGCCTTCAGCTTCTTGGGGGAATGGTGCTTGGAGGCAGGGGCCTTGGGGGTCTCCCTGGCGGAGGAGAAGAGCGAGGGGATGCTCCGAACGCCGGGGGCCAGGAACTCCGTCGGGCTAGTCGGGGTGGACGGAGCGCTGTCCCGGCTGTGAGCACTTTCGTCCGGCCGGGAGAACTTATACAGGTCCAGAGAGCTGACGATCTTGTACTCGCTGTAGCCGATGTCGATCTGGTAGATCTTCCCCAGGAAGCTGCAGCTGTCTGCATCCTCTCGCACCACCTCCTGGACGATGATGGCGTAGGTGTACGTGGGCTGGTACGAGCCGTAGATGTCGCCGCCTTCCGCATCCACCAGGTAGCCGACGTACTCTCCGGGGTAGAAGACGTTCATCGGGTCCATGAGCAGGGTGTAGTGGATCTCGGCGGGAATAGGGGTGCCGGGCATGGGGAGCTCGAGCGTGGACGGCTCCGACGAGTCGTACTTCACGCCCAGGCTGTCCAGTTTCTCGCTGATCCTGTAGATGTCGTTGCACCCCAGCATGGCAATCAGATAGGAGGTGTCCGAGATCAGGTTGTCCGTGGCCGACTTGAGCGCCATGGCCAGCGCCAGGAGGAAGTTAATGTCCTTGCTGTCCGAGTGCTGAATGTAGAGCAGGACGACGGCCTGGCCGAACCGCTTCAGAAAGGCGAACGTCTCGCTTCTGCTGTGGGGGATGGGGCTGAAGCCTTTGACGCGCAGCGTGGTTCGCAGCTTCTCGAAGCAGGAGACCTTCAGGCCTTCGCGGAGGGCTTTGCAGAGCTTCACGGCCTTCTCCTCGTTGGCCAGGAAAGCGTTGTCGTTCTCGTGCTTCATGATGCGGATCAGCCCCGTGATGAACTGCTCGGACGAGAGGAGCAGCTGCAGCCTGCCCTGCAGAGAGCACAGGGCGCCGAACTGGCAGGCTCTGGGGCTCTCCTCGTCCAGCTGCTCTTCCAGGATGCTGCTCAGCAGGCGGGGCCGGAGCTTTTGGGGGAAGAGCATGATCAGCTTCGTGTGGAAGCCGTGGTCCTTCCCCAGGTAACACTGGCTAAGGTCCACCAGCATTGGGACACCGATGTTGCCCTGGATCCGACTCTTGTAATGCGGCGCGTCGTCAAACACCAAGGTGCTGGACTTCACCAGCCGCCCGCCCTGGCTGGGCAGGTACAGGACAAGGTCCCGAGCATTCTCGAGGTCGCTTCTGACCTTGACGGAGTCGTTTTGGAGGCTCTTGAAGAGGCCGGAGACGACCCTCTTCACTGTCCGCATTTCATTGGGATCCAATTGCTTTCCCTCAGAATTCTTGAATATGCGGCTCAACACCTCCACGTACTGCTTGGTGGAAATGACATCTTCGGTGCCGAGGCGTTTGAACAGCTGGTGAAAGGTGCCGAGCTCCAGAGGCAGCTTGTACAGATAGGGTTTAAAATCGGACTCGTACTCCAGGTTGATCACGACCTCCTCCGGCTTCAGGAGCTTCCAGCCGTCTTCCACCATCACGAAGGCAACCCCCCGCAGCTGGAAGCGGAACTCCCTCTTGTCTGCACTGAGAAACTCATAGATGCTCCGCAAGACCTTGGCTCTGGTCTTCACCATGTCCTCATCCAGGGTCGTAATGTTGCACACGTTCCTGCAGTTGTGGATGACCTTGTCGAGGGGGGGGTCCGAGTTCACGTTGAGCAGGCTTAGCACTTGCTCCAGCTGCTCCTGGGGGCCAAGTTCACTGCCTTCCTGCTCTCTGATCGCTAAGGGGGTCGCCTTCTCTGGGAGGATAGGGCAGGAGGTCCACAACAGCTGCAGCACATCGCACTGCTTGAACTTAGGGTTGACCTGGGCCCCGTTGAATTTGATAAGGGGAAGGGTCCCGTTCACCTCTTGGTACTGCGGGTGGAAGCGGATGAACTCGGCCGGGGCCCTCTCGGGGCACAAGAAGGGTATCAGGGACAGTTCTTTCAGGAAATTCCCCGAGAGCATGTCCGTGCGTTCCTGGAATATGTGATGGAGGAGGATGTCCACCGTGGTCTGCAAGGTTTCCTTGGACCAGTTCTCCGTGTTGGCTCGCACGCTGATCTCCTTGGCAAACTGCAGCAACTGCTGCTGGGAAAGCACGTGTTTCAGCCCGACGTTTCTGAGGAATTCCACCCAGGAGGTCATGAAGGCAGCGTGGCTCTTGGGCTTTATGAGTTGCTCCAGCTTCTTAAAGAAATCCTTTGGAATGAACAGCTTTTCGGGAAGCATGACCTCAAACACCTTCACGGTTCGGTCGTAGAAATGCTTGGCCTGCCTGAGCCGCCCGTTGGCGTCATGGATGACCAGCAGGCTTTCCAGTTTTTCAAACAGCTGCTCCTTGATCTCCGACGCTTCCTCGATGCCAGAGAGTCTGTTCTTAAGATAGATCAGGTGCTCCAGCTTTGCATCGTAAGAGAGGTTCTCGATTTTGGGTAAGAGGTGTTTCAAGTACACCTCCAGGTCATCCACGGGGATGCAGCCCACCAGCGCGTAGAGCTCCCGCAGGTGAGCTTTTTCTTCGAGGAAGGCAGATGACGAGGACTGCGTCCACTTTTCCACTTCGGCAGAAGGGATGCTCTTGGTCAGCACATAGCAGGTCCCAAACTTTGCGGTGCTCGTGTACCGGCCGCTGATGGATCTGTAACAGGGGAGGGACTTTAAGACTCTGATGTCATCCTGAGCCATCAGGTGGCTCAGGTGACAGTTGAAGTACATCAGAAGCGCCTCAAAGTCGCTCTCAACCAGCTTCTCGCTGCGAAAGGTCGAGGTCTGGACCATGTAGTGCACGGCCTTCAAGATGCTGCCGGGGCTCTCGATGTTCGCCGTGTGGCCTGACAGCAAGGGGACGAAGGCGCTGTCTTTGGAGCAGATCTTGTTCAGGGCGAGCTGGATACAGCCGGCTTTCATCAGGGCATGGAAGACTTTGTCGGTCTGGGCATTTGGGAAGACTGCGATGTGCATCAGGCTCAGAGGGAGCAGGACGTCGCCTTCCGGAACCACGAGCTGGTTGGCGGAGACAGTAAACTTGGTGCCCGGAAGCAGCGCCCAGTCCTTCAGGGTGTCGACGACGACGTCGAAGGCGGGCTGTGCTTCCGCCTGGTCGTCTTTCCCGCTCACCAACTCGCTGATGAAGTGCCAGGCGTTCTTGAGCCAGGACTCGCTGGCGAAGTTCTCCTTCCAGCGCGTGCAGCTTTTGGTCTTGTATTCCCGGGGCAGCACGGAGGGCAGCAGGTCGGCGAAGCTGGACATGTCGAACACTTTGGCGACGCGGCGGCTCAGCAGGATGTGACTGTACTTCAGATACAACGTGTTCATGAACTGGTCTTTGCGAGACGGGATCAGCTCGTGATAGGTGGTGAGGAACTTGGGGCGCTTGGCGTCGAAAGTCTGCAGGACGCTGTCCAGGGTGATGAGGAGGGGCAGCCCCTCCACCTCAATCTCACTCTCTTCTGCGTCCTTGAAGCAGTAATCAACGAGGAGCTTCAAGCTGTGGAACAGCTTCAGGTTGGTCTGCTGCAGGCGGCAGGGCAGCTTCCCGATGTGGCAGGTGGTGTCGGCAGAGGAGAAGGTCATCAGGAAGGCCCGGACGTCGGCCGGGGTGACGTAGCTCACGGGGATGTCCGCGTCAATGAGGCAGTGGTAGAGGTTGGCCGTCTCGTCGCAGTTGTAAACCAGGTTGAAGCCAATCTCCAGCAGGAGGTGCTTGAGCCGGTAGACGTTCTCCGCCACCGTCTTGCGGGTGGTGATGTTGTAGTCCGCGTTCTTCAGGTGCTGTAACTCGTCCTGGAGCAGGTTGTCAAAGAAGGGCCGCGTCTTGTGGGCGGTGGCCATGTTGATCCAGGTGATGATGACGGCCGAGTGCAGGTCGGCGCCGTCGAGGTTGGGGGCCCGCACCACGGGCAGGAGGCGCTTCAGGTCTTCGTGGATGCAGCCGTACAGGGCTTTCACCAGGCAGTACAGGTCAGGCTGCAGGTCCAGCCGGTTGACGGGGAAGAAGGACAGGAACTTCTTCAAGGTGTCCTTGACCACGTGCATGGGCGTGTTCTGCAGGACCGACATGGTGGGGTCGGGGCCCGGGAAGTAGCGCCTCTTTAACTGGACGAGCAGCTCCACGTAGGCCGGGGCGATCACGGCCGTCATCAGGCTGCTGTTCCAGTCGCTGCGGACGCCCACACCGTTGTCGTCCCGCCACAGGTTCCTCCGCGCCGAGTCCAGCGCGAAGTGGCCGTTCACGTGGAAGGGCAGCCCCGTCTCCAGGGCGAGGGGCAGGAAGCAGAAGGCCCGGTGGGGCTTCTTGTAGTTGTGGGTGATGCAGGCAGCTACTCCGCCCCGTGGGAAAAGGGTGATGTCTTGGTTCTTGTGGGCCGACACGACGCCCTTGGACACCTTGTCCATGCTGGAGAAGCCGGACCGGTTGCAAACCAGCCAGGTGGTGAGGTTCCCCTCCGAGTCCTCCGTGTCCAGGGTGTAGGTGATCTGCTGGACGGGGATGTCTCGGAGCTGCCTCTTCTTGGCCACACTGTCCATGACCGAGGCGTGGAACTGCTTCCTCTTCAGCCGGTCCCCGTCGGTGATCCGGCCCTTCACCGAGTACAGCACGCGGAGGTCGCCGCTCGCCTTGTCAATCTCGCAGATGGAAATCTTCTCCATGTGGTTCAGAAACATGAGGAGCTCCGCCCCGTCCGAGCGCAGCTTGTCCAGGAGATTCTGGACCATGCGGTCCGAGGACGGGACAGAGGAGATCTCCGAGACCTTGGCCATGTCCGCGTTGCGGAGGGGGAACCGGAACATGGTGCAGTTGTCCAGCTGGAAGTGGTCCCCCAGGTAGAGGTCCAGGACGTCGGAGAACTGCGTCCGGAAGTCCTCATCCAGGTCCCGGAACATGCGCCCCGGGCTGACGGAGGTGGCTCCTGGGGCGTAGCGGGCGTGTGGGTCGAAGATGCACAGAATGTCATTGCCGGAGATGAAGGAGGGGCAGTCGGTGAGGTGGTACACGGAGTTGAAGCCGATCCCGTACTGGCCCGTCTTGCACGGGTTCCCCTCCTTGGTGCCCTTGCCCAGGTTCTGAATGCCGCGGACGTCGTCCTCCGTAAAGGGCTGGTTGTTGTACACGCACAAGGCGGGCCCCTGCAGCGGCGCCCACTTGTCGTCGAAGATCCGGTCCACGGGGTGCTGCCGTGGGTCGAAGACGAAGCAGATCTCGGTGGCCTTGGCGTCGTCGGCGTTCTGCAGCAGCTCCTTCAGCATCTCCTTCTCGGACGGGTAGGCGTTCAGGATGCTCTTGATCCTGCTCGTCAGCTTCTCCTTCTGCCCAAACTCGGTGCCCAGGGCGGTGAAGCACACATTGGAGGCGTACCTCTCCAGGGCTTTGTGGCGCTTCGGGACAGCCCCTAGCTTGACAGCCACCTCCCGAGGGATGTCCGCGTGGCAGTACTTGACGCTGGAATCCTTCACGTTGATCCAGGGGCAGTCGTTGTAGCACAGCGCCCTGGCAGGGAGAAGGGCCAGGTTGGTGTCCGGCAGTAAGAGCTTGCCGTATTTCTTCTGGCAGAACTCCGGCTTCTTCTCCCTGATGAGGCCCCACACCCCTTCGCTGATGATGCGCCGGCAGAGCTGGAACTTCTCTTCGGTGATGGGCTTGTCGCCCCTCTCCTGGTCCACGGCCTCCAGGACCTGGGCGAAATCCTCCACGGTGAATGACGGCCGCACGCCCACGCCCTCAAACAGCTCGCGGAAGTTGTTTCTGTACTTGTTGGGCAGCTGGTGGAGATATGGCGCTGCCTCAAAGTTCAGGTGGAAGGAGACCTTGTCGGGGGCCACGTAGGCGTTCTCCACCAGAATGAAGGCACATGGCTTCAGCGTGTCCACGATCGATGACCTCACGGTGTCGTTCTGGGCCAGGGCCTCGTGCAGGTACTTGTAGCAGGCGTTGGTGATAGTCTCCTGGTACAGGGTGACGCTGTCCTCCACCGCCTTGGCCACTTGTCTCAACTGGTCGATGACCAGCTCCACGGTGGGCTTCTTCAGCAAGCCCAGAAACTCTCTGACGGCCAGGGACACCGAGCCACAGCCCCGGAAGGCCGGGGAGTTCTCGTTGAGGATTGGCTGCAGGAGACACACCACATCCTGGTGCTCGGCCGTGTACAGCTCGGTGGCGGCGAACATGGTTTCGGGCTTGAAGCGGTTGCCTCGCCACTCCAGGGAGAAGCCGGCGGGCTTGGTGAGGAAGGGCAGGAAGGGGATGGTTTGGAACCGCACGGCGAAGTCCTTCGCTCGGGGGTCCCTGATTTTGAGCTTCTCGTCAATGAGGCTGAGCAGGATGCTGCTCCGCAAGCAGGCCGCGGCATGGTCACTTTTATTGATGGCGGCGACTGACTCCGCTCGCTCCAGCATGTCGTCCCACAGAATGTCGTCCTTCGCCATCCCCAGCTGGACCAGCTTGATCAAAATAATGGGGTTCAGGTAATCCTGCGTGGAGCCGTAAGGGAACCGCCCGTCCTTGGTGTCAAACAGCTTGGCCACCCGCCCCTCTGGGTGGATCAGCCGGGAGGGCAAGACCAGAGGGTGGCCCTCCAGCGAGCAGGGGATGCAGGGCGTGATGCGCAGGATCCCCGAGAACTCGTCAATTTTCTCGTGCAGGACAAAGTTCATTAAGGGATCGCGAAAGCGGGCCTCGATCTCCCGGATGTTTGGGAAAAACACTTCGGAGAAGAACTGCTTCTCGGAAAAGGTGTTCTCCGAGAGTATCTGCCTGCAGCCCGCCGCCTCGAAGCCCCGCTTGACCGCCGCGGGGAGCTCAACCGCACAGAGGGCTTTAGAGCCGGTCTTCTTGAGGTATTTCAAAAATATCCTGAAGGCTGCGGGGCCGACGTCTTTCCTCTGGAGTATCGCGTCGTCGAGGAACCTCACGTCCTGCATGGAGACCCACGTCGACCCGTCCGAGAAGACCCTGGTCAGCTCCTTGCCTTTGCCGTGGGCGATGTCTTCATAGAAGCCGTGGCAGAGGACTGAGAAGTCGTCGTGCACCAGCTCGGGGTCAGGCCACACCGCATGGTACGCGTAGTCCACCAGCTCCCCACTCGCGGCCAGGTCCCGCAGGACGCTGAGCGCCTCCAGATAGGCTCTCACCACCACGTGCCTCATGAAGGTGGCGTTCCACCGCCCCTTTGTGTCCGTCTTCCAGATCTCCTTCCGATTGGAGGTCACCGCAAAGCACCCGTTGATGTGGACGGGCAGGCCGGTTTTGATGCGTAGAGGTAGATAGCAGAAGACCTCGCCCATGTGTGGCTTCACCAGCCACTTCTGGCCCTGCGCTTCAGAGAGCAGCACGCCCACGGACCCGCAGGGGACGAGCCCGAGCCTCCTGCCGCTTTCGCTCAGGGAGAACTTGAGGGCGTCCCCGGTGTCCATGCAGGTGCACAGGAGCCAGGTGGTGCACTCCACCGTCTTCTGCGGCAGTTCGTCTGATGCCGGCGGCTTCTTGGCCAGGCCGGCTTTCGCCATCTCGAAGATGGTGGCGGGGTCCTCCTCCGGGCCCCGGAAGAGGGGCGAGTGCAAATCGGCGATCCTCCTGAACACGTGGTGGAACTCCTCCACGGTGATGCGGAGGATGCAGGCCGCCTTGGGCGCGTCTGCAGGGAGCTTTTTGCCGCTGCCGTTGCAAGTCTTCATAAGCTTGGCGGCTTCCTTGAGCACGCTGACCGCGGGCGCCTGCAGGGCTTTGGAGGCGCAGAGCTGCTTTTTGATGATGATGGTATCCTGGGCCAAGCTGGGATTGGACTCCTCGATCTTCAAGTATTTCAAGTGCATGGAGTTCACGCTCTGCGTGAAGAGGATCAGCCTGTGCCCGCAGAGGCTGAACTCGTCCACTAGCGCGTAAATGTCCGCCGTGTTGTAGCACGTGCCGCTGACTTCGCTCACCTTGGCTTCCTGTTGCGTCCTGAAGGAGAGCCGGAAGAGGGTCCCCTTGTAGCTGTAGGGCGCCTCCACCGTCAGAGGCAGCTGGCAGCCAAACACATCGATGAAGGGCTTGAACTGGTTGGGAAACTTCCTCAGGCGTTTCTGTTGCTTACTCCAGTTGATCTTGATCCCGGGATTAGATTTGTCTTTAATGTGCTTGCTGATGTGGTTGATGTTGGGATCAAACATGATCATGAATTCCCGGCTCATGATGATGGGAATGTCGGTGATGTGGTACACGGAATTGAAGCCCAGGCCGAATTTCCCCACCTTGTCCACCTCCCCTCTCTTTAAGGATTCCCCCAGCCTGGTGATATTCACAAAATCCGAATCGGAGAACTCCGAATTGTTGAAGGACCACAGAGCGGGGCCGTGGCAGGCTGCCATGCCAGGGTCCAGGAGGTTCTCCCTGATGTCCATGTTCCTCCGCAGGTCAATCATGAAGCTGCACTCGGTGGCATTGGCGTCGTCAGCATTCTGCAGCAGCTCCTTGAAGATGTCGGACACGGAAGGGTATTCCTCCAGGATGTTTTTTATCCTGACCGTGAGCGGCTCGCGCTGCCCCGACTGCTCGAACCCCATGTTCTCGGGGTTAATGAGTCTTGTGCTGAGGCAGGGCACCTTCAGCCACTCGGCGGTCTTCATGGGTATGTCCTCGTGCACCAGGAGGATGGGCTCCGCCGCGTCTTCCAGCAGGTCGTGGAGGTCGTCGACTTTGATGTCGCAGTAGCAGCACTCGTGAATGGGCTTCATGACGAGCTTGGACGGGCTTTTGCTGTGGTGTATGGGGACCGGCGTGTCAGGGCTGGCTGGGATCTGACTGCTGTATAGCCATCTGATGATGTTCAGCATGAGGTGGAGATGCTGCTTGCTCTCCTGTTCGCTGAGCTCTTCGTCGCTCTTGAGATAGACCTTCTGGATGACCATGGAAATGTGGTCTGACGTCAGCTCCTCTATAGACCCACAGGCTTTGAACAGCTGGTGGAACTTGGCCATGGTTTTAGGCACACTGTGCAGATAAGGCTGGAGGTCCAGGTCGTGGATGGGTTGTATCACGGCTTGGGCAAGGGGGCAAAACTTCTTGCCGGTCCAGACCCAAGGAAACGTTAAGGCCCGAAAGGAATCTTTGCCTTCATCGAGATGGTCGTGCATGAACCCGTAAATTTCGAGCAAGATGTGCTGGAACTGGTAGTAGTCTTCATCACTGAAGGTCTTCGACGTGTACCAATCCACGACAACTTTGAAGTGTTTTAAGACAGCGTGGATGCTGGGTTTTGTGAAAATGCCTAGTGCTTCTTCCAAGTCCGCGTGGACACTCTCAACGAGAGGCGCTGATGAGCCAACCAGAATCGCATGAGTGGCATCGCACATGTCTGGCGGTGCACAGAGGTCGCAGAGGTCGCCCTTCCAGACTAATGACCCTGGGTAATTTGGAGGCCGGTCCTTGCAGGCCGGCACCCACTTTAGCTTCTTCAGGGTCGTCTTCCCTTCAGGCGACTGCAGCAATGTGTGGTTCTTATTTAAAACCAGCAGGAGAGTCTTGGCTTTCTTTAAGAGAGCCTCCTGATTCGGACAAGAACTGGCCTGCAGGGCCGCGATTCTTCCTGCCGCTTGCACGATGTTTTTCTCTTTGAGACCAGCTTCGTTTTTTAAGCCAATCTGCCTTAAAGAATGAAGCACGTCTGGTGAGGTAAAGCCTGAAGGCGGGAAATGGGTTTCTTCTTCGCTATAAAAGAGGTCCTGCAGTACTTCTAGATCAGGGTCGAAGAGTTCACTAGCAGCCACCATCCGTTCCTGAGGAATCTGAATGAATTTCAAGGGCACCAACCACTGGATCACATTTGAATTCTCCTTCTTAAGGGAGGACAGATTCTCAAGGACCCATAACATCAGCTGCTGTAGCTCTTCGGGGGGATAAAAGGCATTGTCGATGTCTTTTAAAACCAGCTTTAAGCAGCTAGTGGTCCTCAGCTTCTCTATTTTCAGCATGTTTGCCAAGCGAATCGTAGCCCCATCGCTGCCGTCGATTATGGAGAGAGAAAGGCGTAGGTTGGGCGGGAGCTTGGCAGTATGGTGCAAGACTTTGCAACCTTTCAATTTGGCGTAAGAGGGCACTCCCTGGCCAGATGAGTGGTTAACCCTCTGGAATATAGGTAATTCCTGGATTATCCTTTTCTCCTTCTCACTGACATCCGTTAAACTCGAGAAGAACTTCCTCAGGGCATCTTTGTGCGTCGGAAGTAGCGAAGCAATCTGGTTGCACAGCTTCGGCATGGGCATCTTCTCCATGATCTGCAACACAGCACTTGGCAATGGAGAATGCACATACTTCTTAATCAGCGGATGCTGGATGGCGGCATCCAGTCGTTGAAGGACGATCCCTCCGAGCTTCTGTACAATGTCGGCTAAAAGGTCCGGAAGCTGTGCTTCCGCGTCGTCATCCAAAATAACAAATGATGGGATCCTGAGTCGAATGAGGTCCACACACGCCTGGCCTTCTTCAAGAGCCGTTCTGGGGATCAGCGGCATCTCCTCAAACAAAGACAAGTCTTCTGGAAAGTGTATGTAGAGGGTCTTCCAGACCATCTGGAGCCACGCAGCAGGGGGGTGGTTTCTGTCTTCACTGAAGGGATGCCATTGAACGAGCAGGTCTCTGCCTGGCCAGAGGGAATTCATCACTTCTTTGATAAGACGTGCAAATCGTTCCGGGTTTAGAAGCTGCAGCTGAGTACAGGGCCTTCCTGCAAATCACACACAGAAAGGTGCTGATTGCAAATGACTCTCCTAAGGCTTTAGCCTATTCTCCGAGATTCCATAGTACAGAGGGGCAAGCGTACTGTATTTTTTTTAAATGCAAAAATTTGGCATACAAGGCTAAAAGATGTTTAAATAGTGATAGAGGATCCATACATCAATCCCTTTCTAGAGACAAGGGAGGAGGAATCCCTTCTTGAAAGTGCTCATTTAAAAATCAGCATTTGAAATATACATTTAAATGTGTTTTTTTTAAATATCAACGTAACTAAAAGTTATTTGCTATAGAGTCAACTTGCCCACAAATAAAAGCACTGAAGAAAAAGGAGATTGAGTTATGCACCTCGGTGTTTCGGGGTGAATGCTTTATAAGCATGTGCAGGGAGAATGGCTTTGGACCGGACTGTGTCATCTCTTGACATCCCCGGAAGTTGCGTGGGACCCGGTGCAAAGAGATGGGCTGTGGTGTCAGAGGGCAGAGCTTTGTAGTATAAGACTCAAAACTTCTGACCTTGAGACAAGGAGTTTCCAGTGAGTTCTCGTTCCACCATTCACTAGATGTGTAATTACGTATTATGTAATCCTTCTGGACTTCATTTCTCTCGTATGGAAAAAGAGCAGTGGGAAGTCTATAAACTGCTCCTTGTCTCCACTGCCAGGGAGCTGATTCCATAATAACCCGGTAGGGCCGAGCAGAACTGCCCCATAGGGTTCCCCAGGTTGGAAACCTTTACAGAAACAGACAGCCTCATCTTTCTCCCACAGAGCAGCTGGTGGGTTTGAACAGTCCGAAGCTTAACCCACTGCGCCATGAGGGCTCCTTATATATACCCTAAATGTGTACCATCGCTGCAGTCTTCCTAGAGGAGCATTTACCTGGTGCTAAACACAACTATTGAGACGTACTTCAACCCCCTCCCACCCACCCCCAGCCCCCACTTCCTTCAGAAAGAAGCAGGTGGGAATTATCATAAAGGCAGATGGGTGGCCCCTCAACAAAACCGCTTTCCTCTGTGGGTCTCACAAACTAGAGAGACTCGTTAGTTTCTTTGGATATTTTTGAAGCCCCTGGTCTAGAATGAAAGGTTTATTTCTAAGTGCACTGTGTTTCTGACTATCATGCAGGAAGAAACAAAATGAAAAGGTGAAACTAGCTATCTACAGGTATGTATTTGTCCCCATAGGTCAACAAAAAAGAATCTCAAGCTAAATCCAGTCTTGTGGGAAACTAACATTCCATTTTTCTTTAGTTGCATATAAATCCTAAACCCTTAAAAGGGTAACTTTGAAAAAAAAAGTTATAAAATGGAGCACCTCTGGTCCTATAAAATTACATATGTATATAAACCAAGTGGAACATCTTTATTTCAGAGAAAGGTAAGTTTATTATGCATCAAGAAACCTCTCTTTCATGCTACAATAAGACAATCATCACTTTTTAATCTGCTGCAATAGGGGTGGAGGCAGACACATCCTGCAATTTGAAATCAGCATTAACAACCAAATACGCTCATAGTTTCTAGCTGTGCACCTTAGGGTACGGTAAATCAAAAGACCAGACCAAACCCACTGAGTTGATTCCAACCCATCCATAGTGGGAATCCTACAGGGCAGAATGGGGCTCCCCCCTGGGGTTTCCAAGGCCGTGCACTTTAGAAAAGCTGGTGCCCCCCCTCATTTTGCAGTGGAGCCAGGGTGGGTTTGAACTGCTGACCTTCTAGTTGGCGGCTAAGCTCCTAACCACTGTGCTACCAGGGTTCCTCTAGGGTAAGCCAATTAGTAAAGTTTAAGAAATTACAAAACCTTAGTCTGACTCAGATAGCCTTCTTAATCTACGAGTCCCATTAAAATATAAGTTCTAAAATTCTATTTTAACAACACAGCTCTTTAGACATGCTCACAGAACCAAATTCACTAGTGCAGGACATCTCAGTCATAGGGCTAAGGAAGGAAAAGAGGTTAGATGTTCAAATCACAGCACTCCGGGAATCTGTCACGGAATACGTACCGCACTTTGATAGACATTAAGAATAGACACGTGACATGCATTTTCGGAAATATCTTAACCAGTCTTCCTATATTGAACTTGGTCATTTACAAAATACATACCTACTTTCGGGACACAATTGCCTGATGTTAAGGTCTAGACACAATCCCAGTGAAACACACGCGCGCGCGCACACACACGCACACACACCACATTCAGCATGCAGCAGACCCGGCAGTCATGCTCAACAGAAGAAATAAGACTGAAACATAAAGGAGAGAGAAAATGCAGGAGGACATCATTCCAAGCTCACGCATCGATTGAATTTGAGGTCCTGGTTTCTGTTGTGTTTTGTATTTAAGCCCTTTAGCGTTTACCTAAAATGTACACATTAACTGAAAGAAAGGCCTTCATCCCTAAGTCAGAAAGCCACTGAAGGTGTGCCGTAGCTCTAGCAGGGTCAGGAGAGTGATTTTAGAGTACTCCAATACATTACTTTGTGGTTTTGTGACCCAGCCTTTCAGAAGTATCGACACTACGGTGCTGTAGTACTGAACTTGCTCCTTGAGAGAGCTGTCCTCTAGAATGGATGATACTCAACTATTCTCATTAAAGTTAGAAAGCGCTCCAAGAGCAGGCTGCAGCTTCCTCTTTCATGAGTTCCATCCTCCATGATGGAACCAGTAAGCTCAGAGGTGAGTCCCTATTCCAAGCTGCAGTGGGTGTTCAGTATGACGCTCGAGGAAGGGCAGAAACGGGACTGGAGTCCGAATTTAGCTGTGTGAAAACTGACCGTCACCACGACCGATGGCCGCCTGCGTGGGTCCAGGAGGTGGGAGTTTGTTCACTCTCCTGGACTCCTGACCTGGTGGCTGCCGCGATGGTGTGAGGCTGGGAGCGAGCTCCCTCTGGCCTTTTCTACTTGTTTTGCACAGGGAAAGGACAATGGCAGAGCTGGTGGCTGGTGAGTCCTAACAACACCCGTTGTTTGGAGAGACGCAAATCTTTGCAGTAAAAAAAAAACAAAAACCTGCACAGCTTAAGGGAGGGCCCGAATAAATCAGTTTACTTATGGTAAATCACATGGGGGTGGGGAGGTGACGAAGAGGAAGAGAGGTGAGGTGAGGCGGGTAGCCCCCTGCCTATAGAGGGGCAGCGCACAGGCTCTCTACCCCGGGGGTGGGGGGGTGGGGGTGGGGGGTCGACACAGCAGCAGCACCAGAGACCGGATGTCTTCCGGGCAGCAGAGGTGGCGGCCAATGCTCACTGCCCATGGTGCATCTTCAGCCTCCCTCCGTGGCACTGAGAGAAATCACAGAGGGGACTCAGACCCTCCCTTGATCAGGTCCTGTTGAGGCCACCTACTTAAATCTTTAACTGCACCTTACTAAAAGATGGAGGATGGGGGGGGCGGGGGCGTCACAAAGCTCACTGGAAAATTGAAAGATCGTGGAATTTTTCCAAGTCCTTTTTGAAGCCCCTCAAACCCCCCACCCCACATATTACCCATGTAAATGCTTAACTAACGTATATGAGGCTGGCTTCAAAGAGGCTGTGAAAAAATTCCATGATCTTTTCATCCTGTTTTCGAGAGCATTTCTGACTCCCCCTCTACTATGAGCTCTGCATGACAGGCCGCTTTCCATGAAAGCTCTGAAGAGCTTCATATAAGATGGCATTCTAAGGGCTTAGCTTCTAAATTCTAATACAGGTAGA